ATCACGTGAATAATCTGAAATTGTGATCACTGAAATTTTCATGAACATTCTTTTACGTCGAATACCTTAAAGACTAAGAACGATGAAGACGCACGATATCCTATTACATTTTTTGCTTCACTTGATCTTTAAAATATATCTTTTATATATCGCAGGCTGGTAAAGAAAGATGACACGTAAAAGCAAGCCGTGGTATTAAGTAATCGGTCAATAAAAATGAGGTGTTTCTAAGAAGATAGCAAATTCTAGGCATTATCTTGATATTTACCAGACTTATACTTCTTAAATGTACAATTATTTTATTACTAATTTGTTTGTAATTCAAATAGTCAAGTATCTTAGACAGAACTAATGGTAGAATATTGGATGTTTGAAGAAGGTATAAAATCTAATAGAAACTTGGTTTAATTTTTTATTTGGCTTCCACCTCTATCTTTTCATCTTTCATTGGATTTTATTTATTCGATTACATTGTATATATACTATATACGTCGAACGATACGTCTAGTTCGCGAAGCAATTTATTGTCTTTTTTATTGTATAATTTTATTTAACTAAACATCTATTTAAAATTTCACAAAATGCCTCAATTCTTTTCAAACATATTATTAAATACTAATATATTAATTCTTATTAACACATGTTACTTCTTTTATGTACCTTGTCCCATTACGTAATCAACATATAAATCATTCGTTAGGCATACTATCTGTTATATCAACTATAATAAATGACGAATGTGTCGAAAGTATGATATTTTGTATATTTTATGAACAACATGACAGAAAGTGGTTACATAGGTTAAATCAGCATGTCGTCCGAATAATGATTACTAATTCTTAGGACAATGAGTGACGCATTTTCATGAAATACGAGATCTTGGCACCGTCCCGTTTCTTTTAAGAATTGAAATTGAGAGTTTGTGAGCAAGAACGGACCTTGCTGAATTGTTCAAAATTTTTAAATTACCGAGATCAGCAAGGACATATGTAAGAGAGAAAAGATCGTTCTCGTATCTAAGATCCTTCCTCCAGGCTTCAGTAGGTCGGCGATTATAAATGTTCGCGTCCTGGTTTCTCTCGAAACAACAAAATAATTACAGACAATTAATCTGCAACGCGACATTCGCTGACAATTGTAAAAGGAACGTTGTCATGGTAATCGAAAAATTCATTAGATAGTGATGGGCAAAATTCTTGTTCTCGTTCAGATTTTTTATTCTATATTCTGTATTCGTTATTTATTTATTAAATAATTATTTTGTAAACGATATATTTTAGAATTAAACATTACTTTCAAGATTTTTTATTTTAATGACGTTCGACGACGTTCGAAGAGGGCGACAATATGCGGAATTGGGAAAAATAAAAAGTTCCTAGCTAATAAATTCGCAATTTTCGATACGATCGATAAACGATCGATATTTGTATAATGTTCAAGAGGACAGGAAAACTACGTCTAGTGGAAAAACCAAACAGAGACTGCCTTATTTATTTTGAAGTTGGTATTCTATATGAAATATGCATGTAAAATTTCTTTACTATTTTTAAATTGCTTTCCTATGACAAAAAGATAAAAATATGATTTATACATATATTATGTTCCTTCCTTATAATCAATCAATTCCTTATAATATCGAATAACAGGTAACTGAGATTTTAGCAATTTTATTTTGTACATAGTTCCTATTTGTTGTTTTCGTTTACATTTTGAAGTGTACCGATATATATTATATTCCTGTAACGTGGTTGTATCTTACTAACAATGATAATTTATTTTTAGAGTAACAAGTAATAATATTGTTACGTGAAGTTATTTCATATAATAATATACGACATAATACTTTAAGGCTATTATTATTCATGCCATTCATTCTCCATAGTGGCCTTAGGCGATAGAACGTTTGACGAATATCCCTGGGCGAATATTCCCAGGTACGATTGATCGAAACAGCCAGGAAATATCGTTTTACTTTCATCTATCATTATATAGAATGAGTAATAACCAAGTTTCAGAGATTAATTATCAATTTCAATGCACGGAGTATGTAAAATTACATCTATTAATTTTATGATCATTTTTAAATCGATACAAAATGTACTTATTTTAATGTATCGTATCCTAATGATGTAAAAATGTTTATATATAGGTGATTGAACATTTATAAGTATCAGAACATAAATAATAATTGTATTTGTACAACGGAAGAACCAGCGTATGCTTGTAGAGGGAAATATGACGATGAATAAGAACACTGTACTATTTTCACTGTAATATGCATATTTGGTCGTTAAAAATATTGTTCCCGCCGGGTCTCTGCATTCTACTTATGTTACTAGTCTTTTAAAAGGTTCTCTTTTGAAATATCCCCTCAGGGTTGAATACACGAAGCACGCATTGGATACTAAATACATCTGCTCATACGGTGAATTTGGATGAGATTGATCGTAGAATTCCAATGTTCTAATTGGATAATTAGGAATTACTGTACAATTTATTAAGTTTGAAAATAATATCTCAGAATTTCATTAATAATACTTACAGAAGAACACTTACAGAAGAATACTTACAGAACTTACAGAAGCCAGTGCTAAATCAAGACTTAGAAACAATTAGTAGATTACTTAATTTTACATAAAAATTATACGCAATAGCGAACAAGATGAATATTAGTTGAAAATCTAATAAAGAATATTATCATCGCTAATAGAACGTGACAAACGGTTGTACAACACGTAATTATACTTGTCTTATAATCTCACAAAAGATAGCGAACGTGTAATCATTATCGTGTATATGTATATGAGCTAACCAACAACGATCTGAAAGAATGAGCGCTGCTTGAACAATCTACACTCTGAAAGGTTCGGACCGACAACTTACGCAATATACGAAGCCATACCTAAGAGGGTTATATAGTGTAGCTCTAAATACTTTTACGTAAATCTTAATCCAATTTCTTTTTTCGCGATGGTATTCACATCCTCGGCCCGTTCCTTTTGCTTCTTGAAAAAACGAACGTAAGATTAAAAGAATTTGTTTTAAGAATCACTTGCTCTATATTTTATCGTAATTGCGTAATTATTTTGTTGTTACAGAAATTTATCATAGCAATTATGATTCTAGATTATAATATAATTATGAGCCACAGTAGGTATAAAAAAAGTTACATGATTGCTGCGATTACATATGTATGTATTCATAACTGACTCGAACTATTAATTAGATTCCGGTGATTCATCGGCATCAATTTGACTATTATTACAGATACGTATAAATTGTCATGAAATAAATTTATTTTTGTATGTTTTCATTGTTATAAATGTAACCTTGATACATATAATTTTAGATAGACAATAAATGTCTTAATAATACGCTGAATCCTACTACGATAAATTATTGGTATGATAATATTTTCTGTGTAATTATCCCTTAATTGCGTTTTTCATAATTTTAAAATCAATCGCTTTACACCTCTGGTCTTGTTAAACATCGACACAAGAACCACTAACAGACTCATATTTGTGTAAAATAAATTTACCACAGAATTAAATATATTGGAAGATTTCCTCAAATGTTAGACATCGAATACTAAATATTAAATTATCATACGAAATTATCCTTAAATTGTCGTTTAAAATAGAGAATTAAGCTAATAAAATGAAACGATTTCTTTACGAGTGTTAAAGTTTGTGCGTGTTCGATACATACTATTTTACAACATTTACAGGTAAAAATGCGAATTCGCATAGAAATCCACAGTTTAGATATGATACGCTAATAAATTTAATTGAGTTTTTCTGTGCGTAGGTATTAATCTTAAGCGAGATTAAGAAGTTTTATATACGACAGGTGGTATACTGAAATAGACAAAGAGGCGGTAAGACGAAGATATAGAATGAACCCTTTCGATTCGACAACGATAACCTACGTATATCTTTGTCCTTCCTCGCCACAGGTATAGCCATACATGGTACCAGCCGCACTTGACCTATATCTTATTATGCTGGCAGCGTCCGGATGCAATGCGAAGCGTTTGTGAATAAGCCCGCCGGGTCTCTTCGAGGTTACCGAGGTTCACCACCACCATAAAGAAGTCCTTCCTTCCTGTAGCAGTCGTCTCGACATCCCGGCTTCCGCGACAGACGCAGACAAGGTCCAAGTAGTCGAGGAGTTCGCGTCGCTCTTCTAGTTTTACGTTTTTCCCAAACGCAGCCCACTGAAAGTAACGATTTTGAATGGAAATCTTTCTTACTCATCGGTGTCAATATTTACTTTTACGTGTAAGATATTGGAACTGTGCTTCTTACGGTAAGTAATTAACAGTAACACTGTTAATTTAACGTATTTGGTTGCTAATAATTTGACCGACTAATTGGATCCGTTCGTTTACCATCTCTCTAATCAGGTTCTCTTACTATCAAACCTTTAATTTGCTTTTATGATCAAATGTAATATCGATGTTATCTGTTTCGATGCTTTGGAGCAGCGCGAGATTTTAGGTCAATTTTTAATGATATCTTCAACTTGGAAATTTCGTCTTGCTATCTATCATACTTTTACAGAAACGTGTTAGAGACAAGATTGGAAACAATGTTTGACGTAACTCTTACATGTTATATTACACGTGCAAAGTATTACAGGCCTTGAATAAAAGATAATAATTTTTTATACGTTGCTCATTTCTCCTCTTACAACCTTGAATGAAAAGTCGCAACTGACTTTTTCTCGACCAAAAAGTCCTGACTGAATATAAAAGTATTTACATTTTGTAAATGATTCGATTAAAATAAACATGTATATAAAAGAACAGGCAAACTCGCTCATCAACCCTTCTGGTGTCTATATTTTTATTTTTCCAAGGTTTCGCCAAGTAATTTCTATCTTCCCGGAGCCTCACTCTTGACCGGTATTTAGGAAGGTCACGACCTCAGGGTAGGTTTGTCGCGAGACAAATATTCACGCATGCGCGACCTGTGGGCGAAAGTATTTAAAGAGGTGGACGCGCCTTCGGGAAGGCCACTCTTCCCCGAACTGTCACGAATCGCGCAAGTCCCCCACTTTCCTCCCCTTCCGAGGCGAACGAGCACGCGTTCCCAACGAGAGCGGGAAAATCGGCTCTTTTAGTCTATTTTCTCCCCCTTTTTGTAATCGTCCCTTTAACGCTATCATAGTCTCTCCCCTCCTTTAGAATCGTTTGTCCTCCATACTTTCCCTCTCCAAGAATCGTCAGTGTGCCATCGATTCGTTTAATAGACCCGCTGGTCTGTCTTCGCAGGTTCAATTTGGTATCGGCGAACGTGACAGGAAGGAAGAGATCACCGCCATTGGCCAGACGAATTTTTCTTCGAGGCAAACATCAACGTCTCGAGTTTCGAGTCATGAAAATATAATTCCATCGGAAGCAAATTGATCGTGAACATATTCGATTCTTCGATCTGACTTGGTCGTCTCCGTTTCAACTATCTTCGAGTGTGATCGATCGTAAGAAACGAACTATCAACGAAATTCGACGAATTTCTATCTCTAATATGAAACGCGTGATGTTCGTTTGACTGTTGGAAGGATCGGTTATCGAAATACGAGATATCGAGATACCGAAGATATTCTCCGAAGGACAGGTTGTAATTCAGTTTCTCTAATGGATTAACTCGACAAATATACAGTATATATAATCAACTGGACTCTTGGATATCCAGGGATTCATCGTCGAGGGTCGAAACGCAAACATGGAAGAGGTGGATGTTCAGCAAGAGTCGAGGGATCAAGTGGGCAACTTGATGTTTTCTCCACCACCGATGAAAAAATCCGACACGAGGGAAAGCATCTCCTCTGTAGACAGCGACGTGAGCCTTTCATTCGATCGAAGAGGCTCCAAAGGAGAAGAGGCCGACTTATCAGACAGTGGAAGTTCTGACAATGAGAAAAAAGTGAACGATGCGATGGAGCAACAGAAGAATTGCGATCCAGATTCGGGAGCAGATTCTTTGGAAGAAAATGTCGTTAGAGATCCAAAGGATCAGAAACAGCCAACATCGACCGAAGTAAGTACAACCACTCAAGATGATTTTGTTCCACCAAGCGACGAATTGGCCGAGAAGATATGCGCGCAAGTGGAATTTTACTTCTCCGACGAAAACATCGTGAAGGATGCTTTTCTCCTGAAACACGTGAAAAGGAACAAGGAAGGATACGTATCTCTGAAGCTTATCTCGAGTTTCAAACGAGTAAAACATCTAAGCAGAGATTGGCGGGTCGTTGGAGCTGCTTTGGCAAAATCAAAGAAACTTCAAGTAAATCCACAGGGTACCAAGCTACGAAGAGTCGATCCTTTGCCACCTTTCGATCAAACCACCCCATCGAGGACGATATTAGCCGCGAGACTCCCGGTAGAGAAGTTGTCGGTCGAATCTGTGGCTGAAATCTTCAGGCCGTGTGGAGAGATCGCTCTCATTAGAGTACTTCGACCTGGGCATCCAGCACCAGCTGAGGTAACATCTTTTTTTATCTTTCGCGCTCCTAATTGTTGGTACGTTGATTTAAAGAGTGGGAAAGAAGAAAATATGATTGAGATAGAAACTTATAAAATTCGTTTTTTTGAAAAGACAATCTTTGATAATCGTAATTAATAGGAGCAATCGCTTAATCTGTCAATTATCAGGTGCGACAAGCAATCGCCAAAAGGCCAGAATTGGCATCGAGCGAGGAGTGCGCCATGGTCGAGTTCACGGATTCAGCGTCCGCTCGTACCGCCTTACAAATGACCTTGGGCGATGCCAAGGTATTTGAGCTGCAACAATCCAGCGACAAGAAGAGGAAACAACAACCAGCAAAGAAAAGTGCCCTGACAAGATTGACCAAAGAGGAAGCTTACAACTCCTCGAGTTGCGCCAGCGGATCCGAGACAGAAGATGGAAGAGCCAGACATAAGAAACCCATTCATGGTTACCCAATGTATCACGCTTATCCGGGCCATCCGTTCCAAGGTTTGCAAATTACTTATTTGCTATGCTGTTTCTTGCGATGTAGAAGTTTTCGAGGCTCTCATAATTTGAATTCTTATACCTAATACACATTACTCATATCTTACGATATTCTAAAGAGAGGAAGATAACTTTATAGATATATCCTTTTTGTTCTTAAAGCATTACACAATTACGAAGGAAAAATATTAATTGTATCCAAATTTATTAATAAGAAACTGGTCACGAACAGTTACTTAGTTTTAAGCACAGAAAATGATTCATCAAATTCCTGCATCAGCTATCTGCATCATTAGCAAAATGTTTCAGTGCATTCCTTCAAATTTCTTCCATATAAAAAATATATTATTTGAAGTATCGTGCTAACTGTATACAGTGCAATAATTCATTCATTACTTTTCGCTTATTAACAGAAGTCAATGTAAAATAAATCAAACCCTTATTGTTATATTTCTGAGCTAAGTAACTCGAATCCTACATATCTTAACGCTTTGCTGCAAGTCAGGTAAGAGTTAAGCAAAAGTAAAATATTTTAATATTTGATGAACGAATTTACAGTCCTGCTGTCCTATCGCTTATCGATTATTATTTGAGATTGTCTATATTTTGCATAATTTTTTTAATATCATATATATTCGGTCGTCAAACAGTTTCACTGCTTAAGGGTTAAAAAAAATTATTCTCTTCCCCTGTATCTTCTAAAACTCACCCTATAACGCTATTGTTGCAGGACCCCCATCACCGGATGCATGGTTATCTCGTCGGTTGTCCGCTTGTTCTGTCTCTGGTTCAGAGAACGGATTCATTCTGCGTCGCTTGTCTTCCTGTTCCGGTTCAGGCTCCGGTTCCGAAACCGGAAGTTTCGGCAGACGTTACTCCGCTTGCTCTTCCGGTTCTGAGACCGGTTACTGTCACCCAGTTTTCCCGCCGAGTTACTATTATCAAGAGAATCGGCGTTTCTCTTGTTGTTCGAGTTCCGGCTCCGAGTGCAGTGGTGTTTGTTATCATTCTAGTCGCCGCGGGTCCGCGGATTACGGGCCATTTTTGAGAAGGTTGTCCGCCTGCAGCCGAGATTCAGCCTTTGACGCAGGTTCCAGGAGGCTGTCTCTATGCTCTTCCGGTTCTGAGCAGGGTAGCTATTGTCGGCCCAGAAGCAACAGTGGTATTGCGTTGACACATCTTCCAGAGAATGTGACGAGAATGCCGTCTGGACCAGATGGAACGCGTGGATTTGGCCGACCACCCAAAATGAACGCCATGCCACCGCCAATGGAACCCACCTGTTAGACGTCAATTACTCTCGAGAATTTCTATCGTAGATAGACCGTTACATATATTCGTTGTTTCTTGCTCTTTTTTTGAATGACCAGCTCTGTGTTTTTCAATAGATTAAACAAGAGATATATTTACATACACGTATATGTTTTTTAACGACTTTTATACAAGAGATCTCTGGAGTACAATCAATCGTTTACTTGAAATTAAGTAAAGTAATTGATGATGTACAAATACGTTGGTTAATGTACAAGTGTATTTACCATGGTTTAATGTATTTTGTTAGTTGTATATATATTACTGGATGACGTTATTTGCATTTATAGACGGATTGCATATTTTTCATATATGTATTGTTTTTGATATAGCATTAGAGAGTTTTAACAAAAATTGTCATTTAAAGCGATCTACATCTTATATATGTATGACAGATTTAATGCCCTCTTTGAAATTCATAATTCCATTCCATCTTACGAAATGATTTCGAACTCTTATAAAGGCTGCCTATAACCGCCGAAAATGAGTATGTTTAAAGATATTTATGTGAACTCTATTTGTCTGGATTACATATTATATTATTGATAAGAGGTCTGTGTCTAGAGAATATGTAAATAATAGTATTACAACAATAATGTTATTTGTGATAAGCGTCGATTTTACTGTAAGGGTACGTGAAAGTTGTATGAAGCCTTACATAAAAATGTTCGATCTGAGGTTCTGTGATATTGACGAATAATGTACAGACTTCGAACCCGCGAGTAAGTAGAATATACCTGTGTTAGACAGACGCGTTCTTATACTGTTCGTGATACTCAATCAGCAATGCATCTGAATCTGATTATTTAAGAGTATTATAAGAATATTCATGATAAATGTTAATTATGTAAACATTCTAGAACAAATATATTGGTACAACAATTTTTCAGTTGTACCAGTTTTGTATCAGATTTCGATCACTCTATATCGTACTCATATTGGATCTATAAATAAATTAATAATTATTTTATTTGTTCTTAATTTTAAACATTCTTATATATTTAAAAAATGTTTTAAAACGTTATTTTTTTAAATATTAGTTTGGAACCAAATTTTGGTAAGTATCGTGCATATAACATACATATATATGTATATACAATATCATATAAATACAAATTAGTAACGGAATAATTAAAACTTTTTACAATAAAACGAGCATCTTTCTATATAATTATTCTTAATTTATATTGGATTTTAAAAAATTAAATAATTTAACTATTTTCAAATATATATATACTACAAGTATACGCATATTGTATATTTTAATTTATATTGTTTTAAATCATATATTTTCGAATAATTTGATTTGTTATGTGCAAAATATTAATTTTTTTTAAATTAGACATATATATATGCATATATGTATAGCTAAGTTCACGCCGTTCACTTTTTTTGCTTATATACATTTATGTTAATTATTGTATACAAATCACATGAGAAACACGTATGCGTTCAAATGTGTATCTAAAATAGAGATTACACATAACACAGGGATTGTAAATGAGATGACATCGCCGTTTAGATAAGTAGTGCGAATAATGAGTTTTCATACTTGTAGGCTTTAAGCTACGTGGATGTCAAAAAACTTCACTTCGCTTCGTTACATGAGAAATGAGAAACCTAGTATGTACGCTTCGTGTAAAATGGTGAGGTTAGAACGTGTTTACTTGTCAGATTCTTCGAGGCAAAGAATGAAACCAAAAGACGACTTAAACATAACAGGAATGTGAACGTAAAAAAGGAACAATCCTAAGGCTAAATCATGTTTTTTCCTATTGGATGGCCACGGGTTCTAAATACTACAGAACCAGAAAAAATAACTGCGGTTGTTTGCAATAGGGATAAAATACTTTTTGCTGTCTTAACGACGGATACTCTTACCATCTGGTATTGTAAGGCATGTATTATAAATGTAATATTGTAATTTTATTATAAATGTCCTAAAAAATAAAATCATAGTCCTCTATAATGCATAATATCGAATATGAAAAGCATCTTTCTTTATTTATGAATTGTATTTGTAATAAATAATATTTCTACTTAGCAATTTTATTTCATTTATATTGAAATATTTTGATATAATTGTTGTATAATAGTTTATGTTTATTATAATTTCACCTGTACATATGTTTGTTATTTATATTTCTCATTTATTATGTATGTTCATTGACAATTTCTTCTTAAATAATGTTGTAAAAGACATGTATTACTTTAGTACAACTGTATAATTTATTGTAAAATATTAATTTTTCATATAGCCATGTGTGCCCATTGTGTTCATCAGACGAACTACAGATTCTTTAAAGAAACACGGTGACAATATTCTGGTACAATGGAGGCCAGACTCCAGTATGATGGTTATTGCGGTATGAAAAATTGTGTAACAAATTAAATTATATCGCAAGGAAGGATCTTATATTGTTAATTTGTTTTTAGACATCAGACAGTTATCTTTTATTTTATCGTTTGCAAGATACCAGTCCAGAGGGAAGGGGTCTCTACGAACAAAGAGACTCTCCAGTTACGAGCTTAAAAAGGGATAGTGCTGAACTTTTTATTAAAGAAGTTATCCCTTCCTTAGTTTTGACATTTGTAAGTAAATATACAAATATATTTTTCATTCGTAGATTAAATAATTTATAAGAAAAACTTTTTTTATTTAGGAAAAATCAGCTTGGATAGATGGTGGAATCAGTTCTTTAGTTTGCATACGTGATGAGCTTATGGTAGCTACAAAAACAAGTCATGTAATACGTCATAAGTGGGATGGTACAGTAAATCGAGATTATTCTCTTGACCTAAGAAGAATACCATTTAGTGTAGATCAACAAATATCTACTGTAGCTATACCGCTTACTGAAAACAATGTGTTTGTCACCGATATTGAATATTCTCCTTTAGTTGGTGGATTTGCAATTGTATTAAACACTGGCAAAGCAGCATTTCTCACAGCACAGTCATTAAAATTTGATCCTAATGTATGTCAATTATTGTTGATATATGTAGGTAAATAATTTACAACAGTATTATTTTTTTAGCAAGTACAAGGAATTTGGGCTAGGGATGTTGACGATGCTACCTGTGCAGCTGTAAATCATAAATATCGTCTTATTGCAATTGGAAGACAAAAGTATGCTCTCTTTACAAATTTTTGTCTTTTAAAATCAATTTGTGTAATTTATAATGTATATTTTATTAGTTCTGAGGGTGTAGTGTACTATGTTGATGAAACCACAGGAAGTTTAGAAATGTCACATACATTAAGTCTATCCTCAAAAGATTATCCAGGAAGACCAGGCCGTGTAAGATGTTTAAGGTGGACTCCTGATAGTTGTGCCATTGCACTAGCTTGGGAAGGTGGCGGCCTAGCAATATGGAGTACATTTGGAGCTCTGCTACTTTGTAGTTTAAAATGGGATTATGGTTTAAGAGTAGACTTAACACATGATAATCCTTTACATATCCACACAATGGTTAGTGAATTAACTACTATATATATATGATTTTATAATATTAGTTCTTGGTATTATTTAAATACATTTTATTTAGTTTGATTTTATATATATGTATATATATATTAGGAATGGTCTGCCGAAGGCTATCAGCTTTGGATGTTAAGAGAGTCTCCAACTCCTTCTTTGGTTGAAGAAAATGGAATTGAGGAAGCTAATTTAAAATGTTCTTTAATACAATTAGATTTTGTAAAAAGTCCTCTAACTATTAATCCTTGTATGGTACATATTCAAAACACGTATTTCCATAATTTCTATCTTTTATTAGTAACATTGATGAATAACAATGAATTTTTATATAGGGCCATCATGGACATTTATATTTACAAGGCGAAGATAGATTATATTTAAATCTTGGTGGTGGAGTTTCCACAAATATTTCAACTTTTCATATTGGTAGTGAAATTCCTAATGATTCCATAACACAGACACTTGCAGGTTGTAAGCAATGGCTAGTTGTTCCTATTCCTATTGCATACAGTGGTGCCAATTGGCCAATAAGGGTATTTAGTTCCACATGTTATGTGTAGATTGCCAAAATTTTTATACAGTGACACACTATGTATATATTATTAAATGTATATTTTTTGTAGTATACTGCTATTGATAATGAAGGTATGAGTATAGCTGTAGCTGGACGCACAGGGCTAGCTCATTATTCTTTACCTTCACGTAAATGGAAACTTTTTGGTAATGAAACACAAGAGCGAGATTTTATTGTAACAGGAGGGTTATTATGGCATCGAGGTTTCTTGATAGCCAGTAGTTATTCAATATTAGATGATAAAGACGAAGTTAGAATATATCCACGTGATACACGTTTGGATAATAATTACGTTAGAACTGTTAGAATGCCATCACAGGTATTACTGCTCAATACATTAAAAGACAGGCTCTTAACGTTTTGTGCTAATGCACAAATTAGCATTTATGACATGGTAATAGAAAGCAATAGTGGTAAGTAAGAATAAACGAGAGAAAATAACATTATGAATTACAGGTAAGGAAATTGTTTTAAAACGTTATTGTTTTAGATGCAGGAAGTATAGAATTAACGAGATTGCAAACTGTAGATATCAGTGGACTTTGTGTTCATCCTGCTTGTGTTGTAAGTGCCACTTTAACCACTATACGTGCAGAAACTGCTGGCAGTCATCCACATCCTGAAAGTCTTCTGTTGAACGTATCTGGGCGTCTTCTTATGGTTCAACGGGAACACTGTACTGATACTCCAGAAGTTGTATGTGAATAATATTTCTGTACTTAATATAAAGGATTTTTTTCTAATTTTATTATATTTTACAGCTATTTACGTGTAGTGCTCCAACAGTATTAGCTTCTTATGTAGAAAATGTTTGGGTACCATGGAGATCAAGAAGAGATAAACCTCATTTAACAGAAGCTCTATGGTTATTTTGCGGTGCTCACGGCATGCGTGTTTGGCTTCCATTATTCCCAAGAAATCATCAAGAAAAAACGCATACTTTTATGAGCAAGAGAATAATGTTACCTTTCCATTTACGTATTTATCCATTGGCTATATTATTTGAGGATGCCATTTTATTGGGTGCGGAAAACGACACAGTACTTTTTACTTCGGATACTAACTCCCCATTTTCGTTGCCATTCAGTCTATTAGAACTTACAGTAAGTATAATATCATTGGAATGCTTCCTTCTAGTTAAAAATTGTTGTCATTTTAATTGTAGAGTCAAGTCTATCTCCATCAAATATTGCGACAACTTATTCACCGCAATTTAGGATATCATGCTTGGGAAATTGCTCGTTCGTGCTCTGGACTGCCATACTTTCCACATTCATTAGAGCTTTTACTTCATGAGGTACTGGAAGAAGAAGCAACTAGTAAAGAACCAATCCCAGATGCTCAACTGCCTTCTGTGGTGGAATTCATCCGTGAATTTCCAGGAGTATGGGCTAGAGCAGTTGTACAATGCGCTAGAAAGACTGAAATAGCACTATGGCCTTATTTATTTTCTGTTGCTGGGCCACCTAAGAAATTATTGCAAGATTGTTTACAACGTCAACAGCTTGATACTGCTGCTAGCTATTTAATAATTTTACAAAACCTAGAACCTTCAATCGTTAGTCGGCAACATGCTACTTTATTATTGGACGCTGCTCTGGAACAAGGAAGATGGGAGCTGTCAAAAGATCTTGTTCGCTTCCTTAGAGCAATTGGTAACATAAAAAATTTGTTGTGCTTATACCGCTTTTATTATTTTTATATGTTTGTTTTTCTTTTTATAAGATCCAAACGACGTAGAATCACCAAGAACATCTTGGGGCGGAACATCAAAATTAGGCGGACCTCCTCAAACTCCGCCACTCTCACCTCATGAAGATGACTTATCATTAGTATTAG